AATCTTCCAAGTCTTCTTCTAGTGTAGAATTGCATCGTGCGAAAATGTCCCCGTATTTTTCAAAGATGGATTTAACAAGTGGGACTCTCTCTTTCTTCACTTTGTCGTATAACTCCTGCATGGCAAAGAAGAAATATCAACATATTTTGTTCTATTAAAATTTATTTCAATAAGATACTACTCTAATAGTGCTATAAATTCACCTCTGCTTTTATCCCCAAATCAGGACTCTCCAAATCTCGTTCACTTTCACTTGTATCTCCACCATCACTTGTATCTCCATCAGAAGAAGTTTTCTCACATAGCTCCTGCATTGTTAAAAAAGAATATCTAACAAATGTTTTTTTCTATTAAAATCTAGTTCAATATAATACTACAACAAAAGGCTAAATATTTGTACAATAAATCTACCTCTATTTGGGAATCTTCCACTTGTTCTGTCGGGTTTCCACAAATTCCAACATCTGTCTTAAATTCCCATAATTTTTCAACTGGGAGATAAAATTCCATCTCATCTTTTCCCTGTTTCACAATCACATTGTGCTCGAGGGCATATGTGAGGGCCTCGTTGAAATTTATGTGAGGGTGTTTGTAGAGGAAATAGTCCAACAAATTCTGCTCGGTAGGTGCGATGAGATCTGACTTGAAAAATGATAATGCTTCTAACATGGAAGATGTTAACAAGTCAATATCATTTCCTCGAGAAATAAGCCGAATCAAAGTACTGGAATTAGCTTCTTTGTCTTGAAAAACCAATTTTCTTGTCGAAAAAGCTGATACGGATGGAACAGAATTGACCTGTCCATAATTTCTCAGGGATGACGATCCACCTTCAATGAGATCTCTAAACGACCAAATGCATATAGCTGAAGATAAGAGAGTCTTGAATTGTACTCGTTGATCTTGATTTTGGTGCGCCACCATAATATTGTACATTTTCGAGCTCAATCGATTAAGGGTAGTAGCAAAATCAATATCCTCAGATATCAATAAAATATTGGCAGGCGGATCATGTTCTAAAGCCCACAAGAGCATCTCAAGCATAATTGTTTTGTCCGCTAAGTCACAAAATGATAATTTATTATTGAGAAAAAACGAAGAGTCGAAAACACATGAAATTAAATTTAAAAAAAAAAAAAATCACATCAATAAAAACACATGAAATTAAATTAATAAAAAAACAAAATAAAATCACATCAATAAAAACACATGAAATTAAATAAAAAAAAAACCAAAAAAAAAATCACATCAATGAAAGACATACCCCGAGAAAAAATGTGATTCATCTTTATCCCGCTACGGCCGAGAGTCTCACAAATTTCACTCTTCACTTTTTTCAGGTTTCCAAATCCTGAAATCGATACTTCACCAAAATAATTTGCACGTCTTAGGGCTGTTTTTATGTTTCCAAAAATACTTGCATAGTCGTCGAAACCCTTTGGAACGGGACAATTTTCGATATCCCACCACACGGACGTTAGAACTTGTGCAAACTCATCCTGAACACAATTATCTATAGACATGGCCGAAGAAGATTTAACTGCACCGAAAGTATGTAGGAAGAAAAGTTTTAACTGCACCGAAAGTATGTAGGAAGAAAAGTAGATGAAGGAACGAGGGCATAAGTTTAAGTCCAAATTTACTCCTAATCAACAAAATTTGCAAGCATTCTGATGCGATCTCTTGTGTATCATAAGATTTCTTTACTGAACGTAAGAAAACTCTTGTTTATTATTTCTCTTCATTATAAACCCTAGCACAAGACGACTATTTAAAGAGAATAAAACCCTAGAATCCTAATCTAACTAGGAAAGATAATTACCTATACTAATTAAATACTTAATAATCTCCTAATTACTAAACAGACGGCTATATAAATATAAATATATATGCTAAATATACTATTTTATATAATTAATAATTAACTATTAACTAAACTAATAATTAAATAATATATTAAATAATAATTCGTATCAAACCACCCCTCTTGAAATGAACCTTGTCCTCAAGGTTCGAATATTTGCAGCTCTCTCTTGTTTGCGCTTCCATCTATGCTTGATGCCATCAAATTTCTTCAAAAATAATTTGTTCTCATGTAGGATGCTGAGAACACGAATCTCAATCAATTGATCGACTACTTCATCACATGTATCCACCATCGTTGACTCTTTAACGTATTGTTTGTTATGGTCAAACAATTCATTAAACATCATCGAGGAAATATTTGACACTTTTAGTGATACATCAATCTTCTCAATAGCATTGTTAGATTTCTTAATCTCCTTGAAAATCGTCAATACTCCTTCGTCTTCTTTGTTTTGAACATCATGGAAATCTCCCAATATCCATCGTAACTCTTCGTTCTCCTCCTTTGTTAATTCCTCGTCTACGTCCCAAATTACCTCAAGTGAATCCGATAATTCTTCTTTCGGCTCGTCGTCCCACTTTATCTCAGTTGAATCCGATTCTTCTTCTTTCGGAGAACTCACAAAAAATTGGGGCTCTTCGAAAAAATCATCGTCGTCCTCGTCCTCTCCCTCTGGCGATAGGCTCGGCAACGGCGGCGGTGGCGTTGGCGGTGATGGGCGGCGGTCCCTTCGGCTTTTGTGATGGCGTCGTCCTTGACTTTGTTCGAGCAATTTTTGGAGACCGATCCGTATCTCCTCCACGGATTTTTCAATCGCTCTAAACGTTTTCTCTCGGACGACATAATTTCGCAAAGTGTTGATGTAATCTCAACTTTGCTCCAGCGTAGCTTTGATATAATCTCTGCCTTGCTAACGAAGCGTTGGTGTTAATCGCAACTTCGCTCTGATACCAATTGATGCGATCTCTTGTGTATCATAAGATTTCTTTACTGAACGTAAGAAAACTCTTGTTTATTATTTCTCTTCATTATAAACCCTAGCACAAGACGACTATTTAAAGAGAATAAAACCCTAGAATCCTAATCTAACTAGGAAAGATAATTACCTATACTAATTAAATACTTAATAATCTCCTAATTACTAAACAGACGGCTATATAAATATAAATATATATGCTAAATATACTATTTTATATAATTAATAATTAACTATTAACTAAACTAATAATTAAATAATATATTAAATAATAATTCGTATCACATTCGTCTTTGTAAAATTCCAGATTTCCCACAAGAAAAACGACCCATACATAATAAACAAATAAACGGTTTTGACAGTTGTTATACCTATGCTTGAGCCGTCGAACTCGTATTCCTATCCCGCTCGCCGTTGAACGTTATTGACCGTCGTGATTTGTGGTCGAGCCAACTGCTTTTATGAATAGCGACAATTGGACCCTAGCGAGAAACTTGTGTTAATAATTTTTAGGTTTAATTATTAAGAAAACAAATTGTAATATTTACCATGTTTATTGGGCAAGTGGGCTTGGTCCTTTGCACCCCTGCACTATGGTTATTGTTGCAAAGACACCCCCAAATTATCAAATGAGACAAATTAGCCCTGCACTTCACTATCAACCCTTGTAATTTTAACTAGGTTAAACATGAATACACAATTACATATTTGTCCTTACTAGTATAAACCACTAAAAAAATAGTTTTATAATTTTCTAACTCAAGAATTTATATTTGAACATTTAAATAAATGACATTTAATTTTTTTTAAATAATTTTCCAACTCAAGAATTTAAATTGGAATCTAATTTTTTTTTAATTATTCAGATTTTACAGAATTCCCGTATTGTTTCCCATTTTTATGAAGAAGTATTCAATTATTTTTAATTATTCGTATTTTTGGCAATAAAGAGGAAGCGAAGAAAATAAGAGTAAACTGCAAAAAGTACCCCTGTGTACTCTTTAAATAGCGAAAACTCCCTTATGAAAAATAAACTAACAAAAATCACCCTGTGAAATTATTTAAATAGCACACTCGGCCCATTTATCATTTGAGTATTGACTTCATATAAAAAGACACAAATACCCCGGGATTTTGCAATTAATAAATTCTTATATTTTTTAAATATTTTAATTATTTTATTTTTGTTATATCTTAATTATAGAGGTACAATGGGGTCTTTATTTATTTTTATTTTTATTATCACATAGTTTTTGTATATATTTTAAATTATCGCTACATCAAAAGAAAATTTAAATTCCGTTATTATATATTTAAAAATATATATACTTAATTTGATTAACATTTTTTTAATAATTTTTAAATTTAATTATTTACTATTTTTTAACAATATTTTAATTTCTAAACAATCAAATTAAAAAGGAAAATATATATACATATAATATATATACATATAAATACATTTTTAGGGACAATTTCGTCAGTTCACGTCCAAAAACCTACTACCAGTCGCGCAACCTGCGAGTGGCCACACTTAAGTCAACCGGGGGTTTTGCCTTTGACTAAATTTCACAGGGGAGTTTTTGCTAGTTTATTTATCATAGGAGGGTTTCTGCCATTTGGGGATTACACAGGGGTACTTTTTGCAGTTTACTCAAGAAAATAATGGAGGTGATGAGTGATAAAGATGAGGAGAAGGATGAAGTTGACTGGGCGGAGTTGCTTAACTCGGATGGTGAACTAGCTAGGTCGGACACTGAGTTGATCTGGTGGGATAACTGAGTCCAACTCGTTTGCAGATCAACCGTTTGAGAAAATGTCTCTTAGAAGAAATGAACTAGACAAGTGTTTTACAATAGCAATTGCACTATCTTTATCGCCCGGAAGCTGGCTCGGTACGGTGACGGGGCCCACACATCGGCCCCAGCTGCCGATGCAACACAAATTGCAATGTATTATAATGTATGTATATATATATCTCCCTTCAAATTAATCTCTTTTGGTTATGTCAAAATGTGCTATGTACCCTCAGCTATACACACACTTTTAGAAGGATTATTATTCCGATGCTCGTTTCTTCGGATTTTTCGATAACTCATTGTGCGTTAGATAACGAAATTCAGGAAGCTAAAACTATGAAGAATATAAATCAGATTAGCAGAATATAGGAATTTCTACTCATAATTATATTAATGATCTTATTTGTTGTCTTTCATTTTCCCTCTAGTACATTAAAAGAACAAAAAAACAATTGATTTATGAGAAAATGAATTAATTGACAGAACAATTTTCAAGGGCACTTGGGCTTGCCGCCGGTGGTGGTCATGCCGGTGTAGCATTTGCCGCATTTTTCTTTATTACCATATTGCCCCGGAGGAACACATTTGCATCTGTCGCAGCATGTTAGGCAAACTCTCATGCACACATTCTTCCTCGAGTGGTTTTTGCACCTCACCACACATAGCGGTATGCACTCTGTTCATATTATAAATAAATAAATAAATAAATATTATTTAAATAAAAAGATTTACAAGCTACTGTACGAGAGTGTAGATTTACCTAGTCTATTTCTTGGTGGTCGTACGGCTGGTGGTTGTGGTGGAGGTGGTGTCTTGATCGCCGGAGGCGGTGTTGGTGTTGGTGTTGGTGTTGGTGTTGGTGGTATCTTGATAGCAGGAGGCGGTGTTGGTGGTGGTGCTTTGACTATCGGAGGCGGTGTTGGTGGTTGCACTATCGGAGGCGGCGGCGGTGGAAAAACTGGCTTTCCGGGGTAGAATTCACTAAGGATCTCTTCTTCCCTATGTGATGAAACCTACAAAAAACCCAAAGGGATCAAACATAAAGATTAAGACAAACTTAGTAATCTTGTTAAAGAAATTAAGAATATATAATAAATACTAGAAATTAGTAAAAATAAATAAAAATAGGGGCACTTATGTATACATTGGTGTTGATTAGGAGAAAACATGCTAGAACAATGAGCAAAGCTTTTGAAGCCATATTTTTTTTCTAAGACAGAAAATTTGCAAGTGAAGTTACTTAGAGAGAGATAGATACAAGTGTAATATATATAAAGAGAGAGTTTGCAGTTTCCAAAGTCTTGAAATATCAAATAATTTGCCAGCTTCAAGTGGACCAATGGGGAGTGATTGTGTCTTAGTATGGGTCTTCTCTGTGATCTACTAATAACTTATAAGTATATATAAATATATTTATAAATATATTTATCTATGCACTCTATATATATTTATCTATAGTATGGCAGCTTGCAAATTATACGAGAGACATAACACAAGTTAATCGTAAGACAAGTTTGGCCCAACGACTGTTGCAAGAGAATTCGAACTCGGATCAATTGATAAAAAATTACTCTATATATCTACCATCTCGTATTGCAGCTTGCAAATTATACGAGAGACATAAACTACATAAGGCTAATCATAAGACAAGTTTGGCCCAACAACTGTTGCAATAGAATTCGAACTCGGATCAATTAATAAAAAAATTACTTACTTCAACTGCTAGATCGTCGCTTGAACCCGGATATTATTTATTTGGGTCTATATTCACCATAAAATGTGTAAGAAAACCACACAATTAAATTATTAAATATTTTGCCGTACACGAGGCTTTGTTCTTGAAACTTGTAATCACCCTTTACCGACCTATTTTTGCTTTATGAATTATTAACACGCACTTCACCTCTACTGTGTGAGAGAGACAGACTCAATAGTAGTTCATATTGTAAATAAATATATAATATGAAAGTGTTAACTGAGATACTCTCTCGAGTCGAGCATCTCCCACTTGTAGTATGAAGTTAAATTTTACAATTTCTATTAAATAATTATTATTCCCATTAAATCCAGCTATAATGGGGTTGGCTTTTATATCATCATTTACCAATTATTTTAATGCAGTAAATAAATAAATATAATAATAATAAATAAATAAATAAATAACGTCAGTATAGTACAAGTATAAAGTACTATAAACAACCAGTTTACTACTGTTGGATATGCCTTTAAAAACTGAGTCCACGTGGTATCACATGTCACTGCCGGCATTAGTCAAACTAGTCAGTCTCACTATATTTTAAATCACTAAATAAATAAATAAAAACAAATTTAAATAGAGCAAAGTATGAAGGAGAAAATGGTAATTTTATAATAGTGTTATTTTTTATTTTATTTTAGAAATTATAGTGTTATTACTCGATCAGTTTAGATGGTAATTATGCGTGTGTTTCTTTTTATAAATAGACGTCTCCATTGGAGCCATTGAAACCATTGAAACTTGAAAATAGTATTAATTCATATAGTTGTTCAAACTTAATCGGGAATTTAGATTCTACACCTGATTAATTATACTGGGTGAATTTGAACCATCGATTTAATTAAATAACTATTAATTAAGCACACATACACATGAGTGTGTGTAATTATATGTATATCTACTGTTCAAATTCAGTCAATATAAATAATCGAATGTATAAGTAGCATCTAATTTCCGCTATTCAGTGAATAAAAAACACAGATTGATAATTATTATTCCATAAAGAAGTTTATTAGTGACCCAATCACTAGGTCTTACAACAACACACAAACAAAGCAGTTCAAAATAAGACAATAAAATACTATTACAAGTTCATCAAAATTAATTTACTTATTCATGGGCACTTGACAATATAGCCATGGATCATAACTTTGTCCCAGTTGCTGCATTTCTTGAAACCAGGCACAGGCACACATTTGCACTTATCGCAACATGCGGTACATGTTTTCATGCAGTGCCTTTTCGGGCTAACGAGCTTGCAGTAAGACGCGCACATTCCCACGCACCCTGCAATAATAACAAATCCATTGAATTTGTTTATATATTAATTAATAGACGGACTTTTGTGGTGGATTTGGAATTTTACAAGTGAATTACTTATAATATATATATATATATATATATATATATATATATATATATATATATATACATGTACTTACCGTGTGGAGGAGAGGCCGGTGGATATGCATGACGTGCCTTCGGCGGAGGAGGAATCGGGGCGTGCAATGGTGCCTTCTTTGGAGCCTTTGATGGTGCATGAACCGGTGCTTTCGCGTGATGATGGTGGTGAGAATGATTATAGTGATGGTGCTGTAATAATAGTAATCATTTAATTCAAGAACATATATTGTTAATAAACTTGTTAAATTTATTAATTGGAGTGAATAATTCAATATATAGTTATGAAAAAAGAATAAAGAAACTAATCAACTATACCCCAGTTTCGAGATTATCTACCTCTTCGACATACGACGAACCCTACAACAACAAGAATCATCGATCATTTTTCGCGATGAAAAAAAAATTGAAATAATGTCTAGTTGCATTAAGTAATATAATTAAAAGGGAATTAATTATGTGCTAAGATTTGTACCATTGTTGTTGAAACGAAAAGTACGAGGGCCAACAGAAAGAGGGCCGATTTTGCAGCCATTTTCGGAGACGAAAGCTAAATTAAAACTTGAAATAGATGAGTAGAGAAGTGATGGATATATTATGTAAATGCATGCACATATATATATAGAGCTCGAGAGAAGCATAAAAGGTGGGGGGAAATGTGAGGGTGCAAATCGCCATTAAGGTTAATTATGGGGTGCAAAATGCAATTTACCCGGGGAAATATGCATGAAAAGATGGTACTAGTGGAGTTGGTTTTAGGAATTTTTGCTGCACCAGATAATTAAATTTGAAAAATATAATATAAAGATTATTTATTTAATTTCAATACTATGGAAACTAAACCCTAAAGCTATTTTTATTCATTGGGCTCAATGTAATTGTCCATAACTTAAATTACTAATTTTTTTTTTTTTAATTATTCCTCAAAGAATGTGTTTTATGACTTTATCATTAATTTAACAATCTTGTGTGAAAATCACAGTCTCAGCTCCATAAATCACTACAAGATTTCATTATTTGTTTATTTTTTATTATAGAAAATAAATAATTAATTAATTAATTTTTTTTTTTTTGGTTTGGCCGATTGGGTGAAGTATTTCTTGAGCCAATTAATTGGTGGATATTTCACGAAGGAAGTAGCCTTATCATGTAGAGATGATTAGCTGAATTCATTATTTTATCTAACATTTCACATTCTTTTTTAACCTTTGTTTAAAGTTGTGACATTGATTATTCAAAATTAACTAATGTAACGTTGTAGCTGTTAGAATTATTTCGTGCAAATTAATTATAAATTTGTGTCCGATAAATCCCAGATTCAGTTTTAGCTACTGTTCTACTGTTTTACGAAGAGTTGCAACAGTTAATGGAACAGTAATAAAAAGACACAAATTTTAAAGTGGTTCGGATACAATTGTACCCTACATCCACGGGGACCTGCAAATGAAATTCACTAATTTTTAGTTTTACGAATACAGTAATAGGACTTAATCGAAAATGCAAAGACTCCCTCTTTGTCGACGCCGTTCTTGTATCCTACGCTGAATTGTCAATCTTCACTTTGCAGCACGTCCCTTTCCGCACGGTTGAAATTTCTTCAACGCTGAGTCCCTCAGTCGGCGGATCGACTGATGCGATCTCTCGAGTATCATAAATATTTCCTACGAAACGTAAGATCTATTCTTTAATATTTTTCTCTTCATAATCAAAACCCTAACAAAATACGACTATTTAAAGAGAATAAAACCCTAGAATCCTAATCTAACTAGAAAAGATAATTACCTAAACTAATAAAATACTTAATAATTCTCCTAACCACTACTACTCACGGCAATATATAACCCTAAACAACTATTCTATTTAATTAATAATTAAATAATGACTAACTAATAATTAACGATATATTAAATAATAATATATCGTATCAAACCACCCCTCTTGAAATGAACCTTGTCCTCAAGGTTCCAATAATTGCAGCTCTCTCTTTTGCGCTTCCACCTGTGTTTGATTACATCGAATTGCGTCCCGAGTGAATCCGAAAAACATGACGAACGATCAAGATTTTTACCACATTGTTTAGGTTGATCGAACGAACTCCTCAAGGCTTTTGGAAAAATTCTCAATTTTTTTCCCGATAAATAAGCCTCTTCAATTACCTTTTCAGATTCCGGTTCATTCACAATCACCAATTCCGGTTCATTCACAATCACCAATTCTTGTTCGTCTTTTTTCCTTTCAACAACATGGAAATCTCCCAATATCCATTGTAGTTCTTCATTCTCATCTGTGGTTAATTCCTCATCTTCGTCCCAAATTATCTCCGTTAACTCCGATTCTTCTTCTTTCGGCTCTTCGTCCCACTTTATATCAGTTGAATCTGATTCTTCTTCTTCCGGCGAACTCACAAAAATTTGGGGCTCTTCGAAAAAGTCATCGTCGTCCTCTTCCTCTCCCTCCGACGAGCTCGGCAGCGGTGGTGGTGATGGTAGCGGTGGCGTTGGCGGTGATGGGCGGCGGTCCCTTCGGCTTTTGTGTTGGCGTTGACGTCGTCCGTGACTTCGTTCGAGCAATTTCTGAAAGTCAATCCGTAATCTCTCTACGGATTTCTCCAATCGCTCCAACCGTCTTGTTTCTGACATCATGATTTTCACAAAGTTTTGATGTGATCTCAACTTTGCTCCAGCGTAGCTTTGATGTAATCGCTGCCTTGCTAACGAAGCGTTGGTGTTAATCGCAACTTCGCTCTGATACCAGTTGATACGATCTCTTGAGTATCATAAGATTTCTTTACTAAACGTAAGAAAACTCTTCTTTATTATTTCTCTTATTTCTTTATTTTGATGTGATCTCAACTTTGCTCCAGCGTAGCTTTGATGTAATCGCTGCCTTGCTAACGAAGCGTTGGTGTTAATCGCAACTTCGCTCTGATACCAGTTGATACGATCTCTTGAGTATCATAAATATTTCCTACGAAACGTAAGATCTATTCTTTAATATTTTTCTCTTCATAATAAAACCCTAGCACAAAACGACTATTTAAAGACAATAAAACCCTAGAATCCTAATCTCACTAGGAAAGATAATTACCTATACTAATTAAATACTTAATAATCCTCCTAATCATCCTAACCCTAAACTAACATACGGCTATATCTAATATAAATATACTATGATAATTAATTAATAATAAAATAGTAACTAACTAATAATTAAAAAATATATTAACGATATATTTAATAATATATCGTATCAAACCACCCCTCTTGAAATGAACCTTGTCCTCAAGGTTCGAGTCAATTTGGTCCCTCTCCTTTGTGTTTCCACCTATGTTTGACTTCATCGACTTGCTTATCAACTTGCTTCCCGATTGACTCCGAAAAACACGTTGAACGACCAAGCTTTTTAACACATTGTTCATGCTGATCCAATAAAATTCCACAGGCCATTGTAGCGAAAATATTCAATCTTTTTCCCGACAAATAAATTTTTTCAATCGTCTTTTTAGATTTTATCTCATCCAAACTGACCATCGGTTCTTCGAATCCTTTCTTTTGAACACCATGAAAATCTCCCAATATCCATAGTAGCTCTTCGCTCTCCTCTCTGGTTAATTTCTCGTCTTCGTCCCACTTTATCTCAGTTGACTCCGATTCTTCTTCTTTCGGCTCTTCGTCCCACTTTGTCTCAGTGGAATTCGATTCTTCTTCTTCCGGGGAACTCACAAAAATCTGGGGTTCTTCGAAAAAGTCATCGTCGTCCTCTTCCTCTTCCTCCGGGAATAGGCTCGGCAGCGGCATCGGCAGTGGCGGTGACGGGCGGCGGTCCCTTCGGCTTTTGTGATGGCGTTGACGTCGTCCTTGACTTTGTTCGAGCAATTTCTGAAAATCAATCCGTAATTTCTCCACGGATTTCTCCAATCGCTCCAACCGTCTTGTTTCTGACATCATAATTTTCACAAAGTTTTGATGTGATCTCAACTTTGCTCCAGCTTAGCTTTGATATAATCGCTGCTTTGCTAACGAAGCGTTGGTGTTAATCGCAACTTCGCTCTGATACCAATTGATGCGATCTCTCGAGTATCATAAATATTTCCTACGAAACGTAAGATCTATTCTTTAATATTTTTCTCTTCATAATCAAAACCCTAACAAAATACGACTATTTAAAGAGAATAAAACCCTAGAATCCTAATCTAACTAGAAAAGATAATTACCTAAACTAATAAAATACTTAATAATTCTCCTAACCACTACTACTCACGGCAATATATAACCCTAAACAACTATTCTATTTAATTAATAATTAAATAATGACTAACTAATAATTAACGATATATTAAATAATAATATATCGTATCATCGACCTCCTCCCGAGATCTTCTGAGTTCTTCTCCCGAAGAACCGATCTTCTTTTCGCGTGAAAGAAGCAAATCGTTTGCTGTGTTTTTCTTCTCGAATAAGATCACAACTCAGGTGCAGCAACGCAAGAGCAGAAAAAGTTTTTCTCTCAAATAAAAGGGACAACGTATAAAAACGTTGATGCTGCCCTTCTTATACTTCCTTAGGTGAATTAGTAGAGCCCTACAAAATTAGAGCCCATTAGGTTAGATATAATCTTCACGTAAGGAAAAAAGAGTTATGTAAACAAGGAAAGTCTTAGACAAATAAATTCCTTGTTAATAAAACACTTAGGCAATTAAATAAATTAATGACAAAATAAGAGTTTAAAGAACTAAGGAAACTTCCCTAGTTTTTATACACGTTTTTCGCACACGTGTTGAAAAACCGAAATAGAATCCTCTCGGATTCTAACAATCTCCCCCTTTGTCATCTATTTATTATAATCAAGTCCTCCCCCTTGATCAAATACCTGACAAAACATTAGACTGCATAATAGAGTAACTGTTAGAACAGTTAAAGAAAACAGCAGTTAACAAAACAAGAAAAAAGTTAAGCCTAGCAGACTATTAGAGGCCGTTGTTCAGAAAATGAATTCGACAACCACAAAAAAAAACTAATCCAGAATATATTCAACATCAACGAACAACTCCTCGTCATCATTCGTATCAACTTCAGCTGTTGTACCATCAACTGTTGGAACAGTTGGAGCAACAACAGTTGGATCAGTAGTAGTTCCAGCAGCTGCATCAGCTCCCCATGTATGCGGTTCCTCCTGGGTTGATGCTTCGTTGTCAACTCCCCCTCAAGAATAATCTCCCCCTTTCTGAGCAAGGGCAGTAAAATAGTCGAGTTTCTTCGTCGTAAAAACGACTTCGACAATCAGAGACCCCACTAGGTAGGTTGGCATAAAAATCATGAACCACTTGACAGACGCCACCGGGTTTGATGCGCTCGGAGAAAGAACCGAGAATTAAAAGCATCGACAGCAGAGATAGGCACCACGGGATCCGGTGCAGAGTGACCTGCGGTGGTGCGAGTAGCGGAAGGCGAGGCAGAGTGAGTAACTCGTCGACGAGAGCGGCGAGGTGGCGGGGTGCAGGTGAGGCCGGTTTGGGTGGTTGCGATGGCGGTGCACACGGTGGTGGTGACGATTGGGCAGCCGGCGAGTGTGGCAGTAGAGGAGATGGTGGAGAATAGATGAACGGTGACGGCGGTGAGACTGGCGGTGACGGTGGTGTCACTAGCGGCGATGGCGGTGGAGAAACCCTATGACCCACAACAACGGGCAGATTCCCAAAATACTCAGCAGAGGCAGCCGTGAGAAGGAGCGGAGGCTCCCAAAAAGCAAGGGGCACGGCATCACATGGCTCCCCGAAGACAGGGCGGTCATCGGAGCGGCGACGCGGCGGAGGAGCTGCTGAAGACGTGGTTGCTGGTCGAGATGGTCGTCGTTTGGACGAAGAAGACGATCCACCGGTGCTTTTTCGTTTCCCCATCACTGTGCTCTTGGATTCCTTTGATTTGAGTGCAGATTTGTGATTTGCTGCAAAGGAAGAAGAAGGAAAAGAGAGCAGTAGAGAAGAAAACCAAATTGAAGAAAAAACGAAAAGGGGCAGAAACATGGGTAACTGTTGGTCTTCTCATGGGTATTTTAGCAATTTAGGAAGATTATAGTGAAGAAATTGCAAATATTATTCTGCCAACAATGAGAGCAATTTTATGAAAATTAAATTCAGGTACAGCAACTCTCAACCTTCACATATGAAGCCCATCACAGTTCAAGAAAACTTCGAGAAAAAAAATGCCCAGAAAAGTGGGTTACTCAAAAAAATGATTGCCGCAAAAAAATATACGAACCCACCCCGTTTTTTTTTTTTTTTTTTTTTTTTTTTTTTTTATTATTATTATGCCTAATATGCAGAATTAAATTACTAGGACGAAGAAAAAAAAAACGTGAGAGAACGAAAGAGAATATGAGTGAGTAAACACGAGTGAATAGGATACTATTAGGACTATCAAACCCATGGGGTTTATCTTCAATTTTAACAAAAAACAAGCTCCAAAATACAAACTAACGAGACTAACAATAAATTTATTACCCTCAAATCAAGCACAAAAACGCTCTTATTAGGTAGCATACACACCCTAGTAATGGTAGCTTTTTCATGAAGAGCAGAGCAATTTAATTAGCGAGATAGGTGTGGTCGTGCAATGTGTAATCCCTTGGGCTTTCTAATTGAGTCGTGTAGTGAGTGTTCGGTCATGAGGTTTACCGGCTCGACTCAAAAAGGCTTCGAACTATTCACTGACCATATAAAGGGTTTACAATGGTCGTGCAATGTGTAGTCCCCTGGGCTTTCTATTTGAGCCTTGTAGGAGCTTTCGGCCACGTGATTTACTGACTCAACTCAAAAAGGCTTCGAATTATTCACAGACCAATTTATTATATATAGTTAAACAAAAATTCAAGATTAGCTTTCACTCATTTCGAGAGTCAGCTTTTCCTTATGAAAGTGTTAAACCATGACGAGATTGTGAGGAGTAGTAAAAAACTAAAGTCTCTATAGCCATCATTCGGGGATTGATGAAGTTACTCACAAAGTTCGAAAGTACAGATAGTATCCAATACACAAGAGTTTCATCACATGCAGTATGTCTAATGCATAACCTAGATGAACAAAATGCAGTATGCGTGATGTGTCCATAAAACTTTAAAAGTTGCAAGTCTGGACACAGACTGTTGCAACAGTTTATGCAACTGCACAGGTCAGACAATACAAATTCCAAGCGAATTTCGCAAGGAATCAAACCTTTGTGCATCTAGGGGTTTAGTAAAGATGTCAGCAAGTTGTTTCTCCGTTGTGACATACTCTAATGAGACAGTTCCTTCCTCTACAAGATTTCTAATGAAATGGTAGCGAATTTCAATATGCTTAGTTCGAGAGTGCTGTACTGGATTCTTGCAAATATTAATCGCACTCATATTGTCACAATAAATATGCAATAAATCTTGACTAATACCATAATCACATACCTTTTGTTTCATCCATAAGAGTTGAGCACAACAACTACCTGCGGCGATATATTCCGATTCGGCAGTGGAAAACGAGATACTATTCTGTTTTTTGCTGTACCAGGACACGAGATTGTTCCCAAGATAGAAACATCCTCCAGTTGTGCTTTTTCGATCGTCTGCATCACCTGCCCAATCAGCATCGCTAAAGCCTCGGGTTTGAATTCCTTCTTCTACCGGGCCAATGACTTGATCCACTGGATGATTCTTTTTGACTCTTCTTGAGGGTTCCTTGTGAGTTTGATCATCCAATTCGAGAGGCCTGACTTCAGCTTCGTCTCCTGTTTCAGAATTGACGTCACTTTCTTCTGAATTGGTAGATGCTGCATCAACTGTTGGAACTGTTGGTGCGACACTGGAGCTGTTTTCCGATTCCTTTGTTGGTTCCTCTTCCAGTGGTCCTTTCCAAATTTCGTACGGAGTTTTAGTGGTACCTGGTCGAAGATAGACTCGATTTATAATATGACATGCAGTGTTAACTGCTTCTGCCCAAAAACGAGGAGCGATCTCCTTTGCGTTCATCATGACCCTGGCCATCTCTTGCAGAGTGCGATTTTTGCGTTCAACCACTCCATTTTGTTGAGGTGTTTTAGGTGCGGAGAATTCATGAGATATTCTTTTGTGCCAAAGCACTGTAGAGTCTGACAGACTGTTGAAACAGTTCATACCAGCAGAGACAAGAATATAGCAGTTGTCAGATGATCGAGAACCTTGAATAACACAATTCTCGTCTTTGTCTAATACTCGACATGCGAATTTGTTGAATCTGACTTCAAGATCTTGATCACATAGCTGGCTGATGCTTATCAGATTTGACGTGAGTCCTTCTACAAGTAGTACATTCTTCAGCTTTGGCAGATTCTCATGATTTAGCGATCCTTTCCCTAGCACTTCACCCTTTTTTTCGTTTCCAAAGGTAACAGCTCCACCGGTGATTTGTTGATAGTTTTTCAGAAACTCTTTAACACCGGTCATATGTCGTGAACACCCACTGTCAAAATACCAATCATTAGTAGTACTTGCTTTTAAAGAAGTAATCGCAGATAAGCATTTAAACGTGGACTTTTCAACCCAAATTTTTTGCTGAGGTCTATTGGAAATATCAATTTTATTTTTGGGTTTTTGAGAGGGTAAAGGAAAATAATCAGCCCTAGCAGAGTAAAGAGAACGAGCCACAAGCTTTTTCACAAGTTTTAAATATTTGAAACATCTAGGACGTATGTGACCTGGATTTTGACAGAAAAAACAAGTGGGAATAAACCTTTTCTTTGAATTGTGTTTCGTTGCTTCAACAGTTGCAACTGTTTGTGAGACAGAAGCTTGTTTAACAAAGTTGATTTTTCTGTTTTGATCTTCCTTTCGCTTTAGATCAACTTTGGGTAGCTGACTCCCTCCTATGGCTAGACGATTATAGTTTGGCTTGTTGTTGCTTAAGATTTCATCTAGATTACCTGTACCCAAGTTCAATTTTGCAATTGCTTCTTGAGTTTGAGTTAGTTTAGCCTGCAAACTATTTTTCTCTTGATCACTAGATATGACCCTTTCCTCAAGAGTAGAGATTCTTACCTTTAGTGTCTTGTTTTCCTCTACAAGCACAAACTTCTCCTTTTCCAGGAAGTTATTTACCTTAACGACGTCGAGCCATTTTTGGTACATTTTTTCATATACCTCCTTTACTTCATCCAAGGTTGGTTCTTCCTCATCACTGCTGCTGTTCGGATCCTCTGCAAAAGAAGAATTTTCGTTTAGATTTTTTTCATAATCAGAACACATATTTTCATACCTGGATTCTGTTTCACAGTCTGTTGCAACAGTTGAAGCAACAGTTGATTCTGAGCTGTCCAGAGGAACTTTGCTGCTGAATGCTACAAAGTTAGTGACTTGATTGTTGTTTCCTTGGTCATCATCAGATTCTTCTTCATCGCTCCAACCAGTAGTAAGTGACATTTTCTTCTTTTTCTTCAGGGTGTTTGCGCATTCTGATTGAATGTGACCAAAGCCTTCGCATTCTCGACATTGTATTCTTCTTGGTTTTGACTCCTCTGAGTTATCTTGATTTGAATTTCTCCTAGAATTTTGAAAATTCACGGGTTTCCCTGTGCTTGGAAGATTTCCCCTTTTTTCGATCTTTTTGAGAAATTTCCCAAAATTTTTCGATAGTAGTGCCAAGGATTCTTCAACTGTTTGCTCATCTTCTTGAGTTGACGAATTTTGGGGCGTTGCATATGATGTTTCTGCTTGAAAGGCTATCTTCTTTTCTCTAGACTTTTCACGATGATTTTCACCATGATTGAGTTCTTGTGCTAGAAGTTTCCCCATGAGTTCGTCTAGTTTGAGCGTGTCAACGTCTCTGACTTCTTCAATGGCAGCAATTCGGTAAGCGAATCTTTCAGGTAATGAGCGCATAGCTTTTCTCACTAATTTGCTTTCTGAGTATGGTTCACCGAGTGCGTATGATTCATTTGAGATATCACATAATTTAGCATGGAAGTCAGTGATCGTCTCATTCTCCTCCATCTTCAAATTTTCGAATTTGGTGGCCAACATCTGTAACTTGGATGTCCTTACAGTTGACGTTCCTTCGTATGTGACTTGAAGAATTTCCCAAGCTCTCTTTGCAGATTCACATGACGCTATTAGTTTAAATTGATTATCATCAACACCACTAAATGTTGCGTTTAGGGCCCTCGAGTTGTAGTTTGCGAGTAGTATTTCTCCATCACTCCAATCTGCTTCTGGTTTGAATACTTCCTCTTTGTCTTCTCCTTTGATCATGGGAGGTGTCCAACCAGTTATGATGGCGCGCCATGCTCTCTCATCTATGGATTTGATAAACATCTTCATTTTTTATTTCCAGTATGAGTAGTTGGAGCCGATTAGAAGAGGTGGACGAGTAGTTGAAGATCCTTCTCGTTGAGTATTCATATCTGCACAAAATAAGAGTAATCAGTTCCCAAAATCTCACTAGATATATTTAGTGACAGGCTCTTGATGCCAATTGTTAGAATTATTTCGTGCAAATTAATTATAAATTTGTGTCCGATAAATCCCAGATTCAGTTTTAGCTACTGTTCTACTGTTTTACGAAGAGTTGCAACAGTTAATGGAACAGTAATAAAAAGACACAAATTTTAAAGTGGTTCGGATACAATTGTACCCTACATCCACGGGGACCTGCAAATGAAATTCACTAATTTTTAGTTTTACGAATACAGTAATAGGACTTAATCGAAAATGCAAAGACTCCCTCTTTGTCGACGCCGTTCTTGTATCCTACGCTGAATTGTCAATCTTCACTTTGCAGCACGTCCCTTTCCGCACGGTTGAAATTTCTTCAACGCTGAGTCCCTCAGTCGGCGGATCGACCTCCTCCCGAGATCTTCTGAGTTCTTCTCCCGAAGAACCGATCTTCTTTTCGCGTGAAAGAAGCAAATCGTTTGCTGTGTTTTTCTTCTCGAATAAGATCACAACTCAGGTGCAGCAACGCAAGAGCAGAAAAAGTTTTTCTCTCAAATAAAAGGGACAACGTATAAAAACGTTGATGCTGCCCTTCTTATACTTCCTTAGGTGAATTAGTAGAGCCCTACAAAATTAGAGCCCATTAGGTTAGATATAATCTTCACGTAAGGAAAAAAGAGTTATGTAAACAAGGAAAGTCTTAGACAAATAAATTCCTTGTTAATAAAACACTTAGGCAATTAAATAAATTAATGACAAAATAAGAGTTTAAAGAACTAAGGAAACTTCCCTAGTTTTTATACACGTTTTTCGCACACGTGTTGAAAAACCGAAATAGAATCCTCTCGGATTCTAACAGTAGCATTAATTTGGTTGAAGCTACTTCTTCATTTATTTATGATACTTATATTGCTACAAATGAGTAAGTTTGTGTAGTAGCTTCATTCTATCTATTTTTTCTTTTCATTTATATGTTTACTACTTGGACATAGTAATGAAAATAAAAAACATTTTTGCAATTAGGCCAGCTAATAGGTTAATAACATGTTACCTTTTTTTTTCTTTTCTTATTTGGTAAATTACATGTGCACCCTGAGGTATGCTAAAATAACTTTGAGGTCCCTATAGTATCGGTAATTACAATGAGCCCCCTAAAATATTGTTAGAAACCCTTACGAAATAATGCATTAGATAAGTTATTATATTAGATTCTAACAGACTATTAATTTTAGGAAGTGGTGGAGACAAAATAGAGTTAGGGAGTGAGATGGCTCGCCCATTATTTCTTAAATCCTTATTATTTTTATATAATATTTATAATTTTCTGTCTATGGTAGTATTAACGGTCCTGCGGAAAATAAATATAGTCCATTTGGTCCACAGGACATGAAATCTTTGCTCCGGTAATTTTTTCAAAGATATGGTTGTAATCAATATCACATGAACCTTAAAGTTATTCTAGCATACCTCAAGGATCTACTACGCGTAATTAAATCAATCTTATCAATATTTTCAAATGAGGACTTGGTAACTTTAATCAATTGCCACCACTTATTTATTTCGATTTCACCTTATAAATAGAGTAAAAAGCAGTTTACCCTCTAAACAAATGCCCGTTTTGCACTTTGCCCCCCAAACAAAAAAAAATTGCACGTTCTTACCTAAACTCCGGTTTTTGTTGCACGGTGCCTCAAAATTGGAATATTCAGGCCATTTTGACCGGAATCTTCCACACGTGCTTTTCACGTGAGTTTTAAAGGGGCAAAAGAGTCTATTCACTTACCTTCTTCATAAAAAAAAAACAAAAAAAAAAAAAAAAGAAAAAGAAAAAACAAAGAAAAAGAAGAAAGAAAAAGAAGGGTTGTGATCCGCCATTTCTACCCTCAAATCGGACATTTCGGAACCGACTTCTTCTTCATCTAGATAAACCACGGCGGCACCGACGAGATCCCCTCTACCTCATAATCGATTTCGTGGTGAATTTGAATATAACAACAACAACATAAATTTACGGTGGAATGGGTTTCTCTGAAGAATTGCAGAGTATTTGCAGAATTGTGAACAAGAATCATTTCGATAGAATATGCAATCTTCTCGAGGAACCTGGTGTCGCAGCTTCCATTGTCTACGGTGGTTCACTCGACCGAGAAAATTTGTTAGTACCCTTTTAATTTCTTATTTATTTATTTAAATTTATGTTTTCGGAGAATTAAAATATTCGACAATTACAGGATGATTGAGCCCACAATTTTATTGGATCCTCCACTAGATGCTCAGATTATGACTGAAGAAATATTCGGGCCTTTGCTACCAATCATCACAGTAAGAACCCAACTCATCAATATTTGTACTTTTTTATTGAAATAAATTTAATTTCGTCTCTGATTTAAAAAACGTCTCGAATTGCAGCTCGATAAAATTGAAGAAAGCATGTGGTGTTCCTCCGGGAAGAAAACTAAGAGAAACCCATTCGGCCATTCCCATTCTCAGCCAATTGCAGATTTTCCCAGCTTCTTCTTCTGCTTTTTTTTTTTTTTTTTATTATGAAGAAGGTAAGTGAATAGACTCTTTTGCCCCTTTAAAACTCACGTGAAAAGCACGTGTGGAAGATTCCGGTCAAAATGGCCTGAATATTCCAATTTTGAGGCACCGTGCAACAAAAACCGGAGTTTAGGTAAGAACGTGCAATTTTTTTTTGTTTGGGGGGCAAAGTGCAAAACGGGCATTTGTTTAGGGGGTAAACTGCTTTTTACTCTAATAAATATTGGGTATATCAAATTATATATATGGATGAAGCTATATATATCTCATGAACACAGAAATGTATATAATTCTCTACTAGCATAGGTTTATTTATTCCCTTGGGTTGCAAAAGATACAACAATTACACAATAATTAGAGGGCCATCACGCAAATTACGATATTCCCGAAAAAATACAAAAAAAATTGCTAAAGGAGTGAATAAGGATGAATTTAATTAGCTGAAATCTTCTTCATCCTGAAAGCTCAAATTCAAAGTCTGCAACTTGAATCCAGAACCCTGTATTGTCTCCACCAAATTCGAAGCCACTCCGGTTGCTTGTACCGTTGTTTGCTTCGTTAACTACACAAATAAATAAACAATTAAATAAATAAAATGCCAACTTAAATAGTGTCTATATTAAGTATTAACAGTGTCACCAACAGGAAACAAGATTGATTATCCACACTTATAACTAGAATTAATCTCTCGACCGAGTTGATATGTTCTTCGTCGAGTCGGTTAGATGTTGCACACAGTGAAGGTGTAATATCGTATATCAATTTACTTTAATAAGCACCGAATTTTATCTTTACTCCGATCAAATCTAGACTACGATTACATCATTATTTCTCCGAAGCTTTTACTTGCGATTTTTAATTTACTTTGCCCATAGAAACCGACATTGCGGGAAGAAAAAAAAATTAAATAAAAAAGGTAAATTACAACTGCCACCCTGAAGTAAGGTCTATTTGCAAAAAAACCCCTCATTTTCCAATAATTACATCCATCCCCTTGAAATTTGTAAATGTCTTCGTTAACACCCTTTTGTAGGGGGATGAATGTAAGAAATTTTACAAATTGCAGGGGGTTGGATGTAATTTCTCAAACAAAAGGGTTTTTTGTAATGACATTTTACCTCAGGGAGGTGGTTGTAATTTACCCAATCAAAAATAACAATTCGACATTTATTCGCATTTTCATAGTCATGTGAATGTATAAACATAATGTAAGAGGCAACGAGTAGTGAAAAAATAACCTCCACGGTTGCTATTCCCTCGATAACCTGTACTTTGAGATCTGTAATTCCTTCGACTTCCTACAAAACATAACGTAAACAACGATCAAAATGCACGTAACAAAAAGTTATATCTACGCTAAAAATCATATTTTCTGATTCCTCAATCTGATAATCACACAAGGAAATCATATTTTAAGGTCAAGAGCCCGTGTATAATTTCACTAATATGAATTCAAGATTCGCTAATTCGAACGACCGCATTTAGGGATCGATTTCTTACCAGACGTACACTTCTATGCATTTTGCAGAGAGCCCATAATCAAATAGCTAGAAAAAAAATATCATAGTACGAAGCTAAAACATCATCGTTGTTTGTCAACAAGCAAAATTCGACCTCAAAATTGTGTCCCAATTGGTAACATTCATAAGCAAAAAACGAAGGAGGTAAAAAATAATATCAAAAAATAAATTCGCCACAGTCTCGATAAATTAATAACCTCACTTAAATAATAACTTCTCCCGGTCCCGGCTCGATGGAAACGTACTAAATTATTAGTTCAATAGTTTAATATATCGCTAAATTAATAGAATTTTGTTCGTCCGGACTGTATCAATTCATAGAGGTTTAAGAGTTTAACAGTACCTGCAAGGCCTTGGTAACTCCAGGAATAGCCAAGTCAGTCATTGTTCCTTCTGCCTGCACATTTTCAAACACAAGATATTCATTCAGACAATTCATCAAACAGTTGACATGCACACACAAAAAGGACAAAAAACAGCAATATAAAAAAAACCCACCTGAAAAAACATAGTGAGGACATCGGAAGGCGACACCGGCACGGAAACAGTCGGGTCCGGCACGGCGGCGGCGGCGGCTGGCGGTGGCAGCGTATCTTCTTCAGAGACAAGGGTGCTTTCTTCCTCCGCCACAGCTTTCACCTTCAAAGACCTTAACAAAGAGTGCTTACTGAACTTCATCACCGATGAAGAACAAGAGACGGCGGAATTCTTGAAAAGGGTGTGGCATTTAATGCCGGAGAAGTGGAATTGAGGAAGGGTAGAAGAAAATGAAGAGTGAGAAGAGGGGAGAGGGTGGTAATTGGGTCGGGAAACAGAGCACAGAGATGAAGACGCCATTGTTGTGTAACAGTGAGCTTTTGGAATTGGAGCAGTGGGTTTTTCCAATTCTATCCACAAATGGAATTTGGAAGGGGATAGGATGATGTTCTGCAGTTCAATTTATTACATTTTATTTTTAATTTTTTTCTTCTTTTTTTTTCAAGAGAAAAAATTGGAATATATACTAGTTGAGGTACGTCATTAAAAATTATATTTTATATTTATATTCAATTTATTTTGAAAAATATTAAATTTCCAATTTAATTAATTTATATAAAAATACATTTTTTCACTAATTTAATTATAAAATATTTCAAAAATGAAAAGATATTTTTATTATTAATTAAAAAAAAAATTCAAGAGAAACAAAAGCAAGATTTTCATTTGCCAACATTATATACCGAATTTCAAACTAAAATACACTATTATTTTATTCAAGTTTGATTTAATTTTTTACCGAAATTAAAATCGTTATTTGTGATTCGGATCAACTCTAATCATTTTTGTCCAGTGAGCAAGTTCGGTCCATGAAAGCCCATTAAAGAAACCAAGGCCCGCAGGATGGCATCGCACACAAGCGATTGAGCTCAAACGGCGAGAGACCAGTCGAGTGCAAGGGCGTTTAAGTCATGTGACAAAATTTAATGCTCGTCTTATCAACTGTCAAGTTAAACTAATTTGAAGAGGGACTTTGAACTCCAACTCTCCCATATCAAGTATTTGACGTCTTTTCTATACAAGGTAAGAGCACGCATTATTATTACTTAATTCCTAACCATCATCGGAAAAATACTGACTTTGCCGTCGAAATGCTGACCCCAGCCTAAGTCCGGATTCACCTTTTTCTTGTATTACAGATCAAAGATTTTACTTGAACAATTAGTTGAAACATTCATGACTCTTCTACAATCGGAAATAATCTAACACGTAACGTTCATGACTCTTCTTGAAATAGGTATCTGGCCCGTGAATACGCGTCGCAATCCGGATCCAAGAAGCGGGTTATACTAGTAGTAATATGTCTGATTAGCTTTAAAAAATCCACTTTCACCAAAGCAGTTTAATTCAGAAACAACACCCCCTCCTCATATAATTTATCTACATTCTAAAACATACATATTTGTACAGACAAAAGTAGTACCAAATCGATTCAACTGCAAAATCTCGTGAACTAATCCATTCTTCTTCGAGCACTTCATTCATTTCAAGTCACATTCAACTTGAATTTCACCACCTGCACCAAGATTGTATTATAATAAGGTTCGTTTAAAAAAAATGAAAATAAAGAAATACGAGCAGTAAGAATATGTATAGTGGAAAAGATCAAAACGGGGAATACTCTTTAGATGTACTCCTAGGTTCGCTTGGGCATCAGCTTCGGTGTTGAACTCCTGATAAACATTTAACATATGCACAATTACCAATATTTTACTAGAATACAAATACAAAAAAAATCCCGATCGATTTTTTTTTCACGAGCTGCATTAGTTTATTAGAGAGCAGTGAAAGATCGAGTGATAACATTTTCGACTTACTCGACCGATATGACAGATCTGGAATAAGATAAACTGTTCTTTGAGCTCTTTAGCCACTTTACACAACTCAGCCATATTCTGAGTTTTCGTTTTCCATATACCCTGAACCTGTTCGTTATTTAATAAAATGACAAGTTAGTGGAATAAGTTTTTTTATTTTATTTTTTGATTTCGTCCTATTGTATTTTGATGGTAACGAATAAAGTAGATACGAGAGACCAAAAATATATATATATATATATATATATATATATATATATATATATATATTACCTGCATGCAGACAAGTTTAGAATCGCCTTGAATACGTATATACTTGAACCCTTTTTGAAGAGCATAATTTAAGCCTAAAATCGCACCTCGATATTCCGCTACATTATTAGTTGCAAATCCCACACCTTCACGCAGTCGAAATACCTATCGTAATTTAAGGTGGAATAATACGTTAGGTAGTCTATTTTTTTTTCCTAATGATAATAAATCAAATTGGAAAAGAAAAATCGAGATAAATAGATACCACGCTTCCATCTCCAGCTCGTAGAATAGCCCCTGCACCAGATGGTCCAGGGTTTCCCTTTGAAGCACCATCAAATTCAATAATACACGAACTCTGTAAATCAAAGGTGAGAAAATACGAATCGAAATATTGTATGAATATAATTATTATTGACGTGTGGATGAAACTTACGCGGTAAGAAGAAATTGGTAGGCCTTGTAGGAAATTATCTAATTTGGCATTTTTTAATTGAGGGTTTGCGGAAAACGAAGCTGATCCAACTACATCCTGTGGCCTCTTTTCTAAAGGACTTTTGCCAGATGATTTATTCGAGGAATTTGGTTGCTGCAAGAAAATAATTTTGTCAAATCACATCAAAAATTATGCCTAAAAACTTTTCCGACATGCTTATCATGGTTGCAGTTATAATCAACTTTGGCATAAAATTGAGAATCTAACCCGAAGAGGACAAACAATGAGCTGGCCAAAGAGATCGTCTTGCACGACTCGAGCATCAATTGAATAAATAGCATTTTTTAATCCGCGAGACGAAAGGTATTCCTCTGCTTCTTTAGACAAACCGTAACCCTTAAAAACACTTACGGAAGGATCATTCACCTGAAAATTTTTTATATTTTTTAAAATTATATAACTATTACGTGAAAGTAATATTCGAAACAATTTAAAGGCTTATCAACAACCACTCGATATGACCTTATTGGATATTGCGATTCATACTAACTAACTAAACAAAACTTCGTACATGCGAACCGATTTTTTTAATTTTTTGTTCGAAACGGATAATTGGCCCCGACTTGTTGCTAAAGGAAAAACGAACCCAAAAAACGACATAGGAAAAGCTTATGCAATCTGCTAAATACATTTTTTTTAATTACGGACTTCCGAACCTAAAATTGACTATTTGACTATTTCGATAAGCTAAAGCATTTCCAAATTCCAGGTGAAATTAAAACAAAATAAAAAATCGCAGCCGATGAAAAATCGAAATGCATGTATACTGAAACGAAATCGAAGCGAGAAAAATTACGGAATCGCGAAGAAGAGATTGAAGATCATTTATGTTCTTATACACCCCAACATTATCCCCTTTCCGTACAATATAAAAAGCATCTTGTTCATCACCCATTCCTTTTTTTTTTCAATCGCTCCCCTGCAACAAAATTACAGTACCAGCATAAATAACCGCTAAATTCGGAAAAAAAAAAAACTTTAAATAATCTCTTACTTCAAACGTTACATTAACATGTGGGAGCTGATTCGAAACCCTAATTAACCTCAACGAAGAAATTTGGGGTTAATTTTTGTCTTTTTTTTTTATCAGCTCAAATGAGCTAGCTTACCTACCGCCACCGGATTATAATTTTTGATTAAAAAAAATTAAAAAATTAAATTAACTATAAACAATTACCAAAAGAAGAAATTAAATCACCTCGTGATTCTCGGGATTCAGCGGAGTTTCAACTTTCGAAGTCAAGAGTGAGCTGTTTTTGCGTGTAACAATAAAGAAGATGAGAAGATTTTATTACATTATTCAAAATTAATTAAAAATAAAAATAAAAAAAAAAGAACAAGAAAAAGATTTACAGACAGAATTTTATGGTTGGGCCTATTGGCGGGAAAATAGAAACAAGAATGTGGGCTTATCTGAAAGTCCAGCCCATATGTTAGGATACCCGAAATATCTGCTCCAAAATAATTACAGGAAATTACGGTCAACCCACTGAGGTAAGATTAAATTACGAAAAAGGCTTTGTTTGGGTAATTATAAATACCCCCAACTATGAATTTTCTTACACGTTCATTCTTGCGGTGTCAAATTTAGTGGAATCTTCTAGATTATGTGAAATATTCTCCAGTTTGCACTCGTTTTTTTTCCTGTTCGAGCCCCACATTTAGAAATAAGATGATCATAAGATGTGTTTATTGGTTTTTAAATATTAAATTTGTGGTGCAAGAGAAACTACATTTTTCACAAAACGAGTACAAACTAGAGAGTATTCTACGGAATCTAAAAAAATTTGTTTAATTTGACACCATAAGTGTAGATGTGTAAGAAGATTCATAGTAATTACCCAAACAAGAGGGAATTTTTTTTAAATTCGACCTTATTTCAGGAGGGTGGCCGTAATTTAACAATTATGAATTATGAATTCCAATTTTCTCTTTTATTTTTTTGATATGTATGGAATATATTAGATTCCGATCCGAAAAAATTCCGATTTTTTTTTTCAAAAAATTTATCATAATGTACACCAATTAAGATATTGAGCCAAACATCATAATTTATTTATCATTTTTTTTGAAGAAAAAATCTCATAACTGAGCCAAAATGTATACCAATTTAGATATTGAGAAACCTGCATTTAAATACAAAAGGTACAAACAAATATACCAATATTCTTTACAAACAAAGTATTTAATTAATATTATTGACATTAAAAAAAAAGGCCTTCAAAAGCCTCTAGTGGATGGAACTTGCTTAAGCAACTTAGCAAGATCATATGATTTGAATTCTTTTCCATAACACATGCTTAGATCAACTGCTGTTTTCCCATCCTGTTACAGTATACATACATATTATATATATATATGCTTTGTTCATTTTACTTTTTTTTTAAATAAATGAAATAAAACAATCGAATTTCGTTTATAAAAAATATACCTTATTCGCCCTCGTTCTGTCGGCCCCGTTGACTACCAAAATCTTCACTATGTCTCTGTTTCTTGTTTGCATGGCAACATGCAACGGTGTCCATCCTTCCTACACAAAATTAAATAAATCGAATACAAAATTACGATAGTATATGTGCATGAAATTGAAGAAAATTTAATAATACCTATATATATATACATATATTAAAAAAAAAAATAGGTGCTCACGTTATCGGCAACGTTCACGTCAACCTTATATTTTATCAACAATTTAACCGACTGTATGGCTCCGACTTGAGCAGCGTAATGAAGTGGGGTAGCACCATCCTGTGATCACAACATAGGATCGATTAACCTGATACGAATTAATCAACCGGGATAATATAATCATGCATACAGTCAATCAATCACACCTGATCCTTTACTTCAGGATTAGCTCCTTTTCTTAAGAGATGACTAATCACAGCCTCTCTTTTACCAATAACCGCTATATGAAGTGCCGTCAATCCATCCTGCAACCAAATTTTACCCATATTTTTTTTACCAAATATTGTTTTAACGATATACACAAATCGAGCCAGACTATCCCATTTGCGCAAAAAAAAAAAAAAAAAAAGAAGGAATATCCCACCTTATCGACGAGATTAATGTCATACCCTTTTTCGAGCATCGCGTCCATGAATTTTATCTGTCCTGCTAGTGCAAAAGTATGTAGAGGCTTCCATTTTTCCTGAGACAACTTAAACCCGAGATTGACAACAAATAAAAAAAAATAGATAGTCCCAAGATTATTTACTCCCTCTGTTTCAAATTACGAAAGAATTTTTCTTGTGCCATATTATATGTCACTTTAGAATCCCATTTTTCTCAATTTCGGCCTTATTACTCATAATTAGTTAGAGATAATTAACAGAAACAAAATCAACAAGAAGGGTATTTTAGTCACACTATAAAAAAATTCATCCCTAAAATCCACGGATATTTTACTAGTTTTCATAATACGTGCGCACATATGAGCTAGCAGGAGAATTCAAGACAATCATACTCGGATTGAGACAAATTCATTGATGTAATAAATATTTATGCTACACTATACATTTACATTTACATATACACATATAGCCAGAATGCATTGAACTCACGGTTGTTAATTTCTCCAGATTAGGAGCTTCGTTACGTTCAAGAATCGCCCTTTCTTCCGGTTCCAACATTCGTTCAACCTCTGCAATAACCAGCAATTTTCTGTAAGTACTACCAAGCACAAAAAAGTTAACACAAATCACGTAAAAACAGAGTCGAAAAACATTAGAGACCTCTAACAAGATCTTCCTTGAACTTTTGTACGGATAACGCATCATCACCACGACTAGTAGTACTAAGAGCTTTATTTTCCCCTTTGGATTCCCAATCACTCTCGTAATCCGAGTCACTCTCTTCTTCGTCTTCTTCATCGTCGTCTTCGTAATCGCTCTCGTCGCTTACATCATCATTGAGGTCATCCAACATCGCTTCGTAATTCGCCACAGAGGAAGCAGCCCTTCTACTCGAAAACTCATTCGAGAAACGAATAGCCGAAAAATGGTCCGTACTATTCAAGAACCCATTTTTTGTCTTGTAATTGAGACGGCAGCTGAAAATTGGGAGTGGAGATGTGGGTACAACAATTAATTGTTGCTGTGGAGAAAAGATTGCGCTGCTCAATGAAACTATCATTGTTGGAATTAATCCTCAAATCTTCACCTGCAGAAACAAAAATGAAAATCAGGGAATTAAAAAAGAAGAAAAATTGCGTTCTTTGGTGCATTTCATCGAACAGTTGGTGTGCAAAAAGTTGAACGATATGAACTTTTCTTACCTTGTTATTTGAACTCCACAAAATTGGACTCTCGGAGAAATGAACGAGCAATTTTCTGGAGTGAAGTTTTCTTGCCGAAGATGTAATCCGTGGATTTTGGGCCTAATGATTAAAGGTTGTGTGAGTAGATGGGCCGAAGCCCAAATTTTTTTCTATCCAAACAATTTTAGGTATTAAAAAATTCATTTTCAACTTATCTATTTCTTAATCTAGGGCAAATTATCGACACCTCTAAGGTATGGCCAAATTACGAAAAAACATCTCTTGTTTGGGTAATTACAGTCACCCTTCCTTTTAAATATTTTTACATAAAATTTAGGGTAAATTACAAACACCCCCCTGAGGTATGGTCAATTTACAAAAAAAACTGTCTTGTTTGGATAATTACATCTACCCCCTCAACTATGAGTTTTTCTTACACCTCCACTCTTATGGTGTCAAGTTCAACATAATCATCTAGATTTCGTGGAATGTGCTCTAGATTGTACTCGTTTTGTGTAAAAATACAGTTTTTGATGCACCACAATCTTATATATACAAGTCAAAAAACACATATTATGATCATCAGCTTGCTTTAAAAAGTAGAGTTCGAATGGGATAAAACGGGTACAAAAGTGATAATATTCCATATAATCTCGAAGATTCCACTAAATTTGAGGAGTTGAGGGGTTGGTTGTAATTATCCAAACAAGAGGGGGGTTTCGTAAAATAATGTGTAGTTGAGGGAGGTGGCTGTAATTACCCAAATTAAAGAGGATTTCGTAATTTGACCATAACTCAGGGGTGGCCGTAATTTACCCTAAATTCTACTTCAAAAGAATGTTATACATAAAATAAAATAAAATAAAATAAATTTATAGTAGTTTTTGTATTTATTGAAGTAATTGTTTGTTACTTAATGAATTCATATAAAAAAAAATACATGTCAAAATGCTGTAGCATGAATCCATGTTTGGTTTCGTTTCGATTTCATTTTTACTCTTTCCCAAAACAAATTCGTAATTGTTTCGAAAATAATTCCTTCAACAATTTCAAAAGCTTCTTTCTCCTCCAAAATAATTTGACCGCTACAGTAAAAATTCACTGCGCTTATCACCACGTGTTTACTCTAACTATTAAGAAAAATCTGGGCGCGAAAATATCCCTATGATGCCGTTTATTAGACAATCCTCCTAATTTAGGGGGTCGTGTACTAAAAAAAATCGCATCATATATAAATTTTTGCTAATATTTATAACACAATTTTTTTCGCAATTTGATATTAATAATAGAGTACTACATGCAATAAAATCAAATGCAACAAAGTTTGGTGTACCCAAAAGCAAATGATTGTGACAATACAGAAATAAAACATTGTTGTCCTGTCTGGATAACAATGGAACAAACATGAAAAGTGAAATTACAGACATCAACTTTCATTATTTCATTTATCAAAAATGATAAGCAAATTATTAAAAAATGTCATCGAAATCTTACGGAATAATGTCGAACTTCAAGTTACACGGTGAATCGTTTAATGTCTACATCTCCAATATAAACATTTCGAGCACAAATATTGTTAGTCGTTTTGAAGTTACAATGTCTCGGAAGAAAACTTTATCACATCAAGAATCGCAGCTAAGCTAACTATAATACAAGTTTTAACGATTAATCGACAACTTTTATTTTTTAACTCGTAAATCATAATGTATTAAAGCTTGTAACAATTCCCATAACACCATACTAACAACGCGTAATAAGTACTAATTCGATATTATAACTACCATCCTCGCAATCTACAATCAATTCGTACAAACACATAACCGAAACCAAATTAAATTAATTTAAAAAAAAAAACTTAAACATCACTAATATGATTAAATGCACCCAAAGCAAAAGAAAAGATTTCACGAACCGGCGAATACTCGACCAAAGAAATCTCGACCGCATATCCACTCACGGGCATCTTCAAGTCATTCAACAAACTAAACGCCTCCGCCACGCGGGCGCTCGGCACTTCCTCCGCCACGGGGCAATGTGGGACCCACTTATCGGGGCGGGACCCATCACCAACCTCGACACCTTCTCTCCTCATAGCTTCACACAGTTGAGAGTGGAACTGGAGGAGAGAGAAAGTGGGAGTCGGACCGAGGAAGAGGACGTTGCTTTCGTTCGGGAGGCTCCCGATTGACGACATGGATAGAGATAGAGGCTCTTGCTTTTGGGCGAAGTTTCGTAGGATGTTTTCGATTTTGGGAATGTCGGTGAAATTGCATGGGAATAATAAGGTTAAGTGAGGCCTCGACTCGATTTCGATTAGGTGAGTTGTGATTTGCCTTCGGGCTAACACGTTCCACGCTTTTAGAACCTGGTTTTCGAGCGCCGGATCGAAGTAGAGCTCGATTGCGTAGCCTTGTGACATTATTATTGTCTCTGTCTCTATAATATATATATTTCAACACAAATTGAGTTAACATAATCACACACAAAAAAAAAACAAAAATATATTAAATAAATAAAATAAAGGGGTGTAAATTGATAAATGGAGCTCAATTGATGTGTGCAAATTGAAAAGACTAAGGCAATAATTAAGATCTAGTGCAGATTAATTGAGGAATTTAAAGGGATTTACATGAATTAAAGAGATACACCCAGAAAAATACAAACCCTAGAAAGCATTATTTATACAGAGGATGAATGAAAGCAGTAAAGATTTGAACTTTACACTAAAAGAAGGGAAATTGGCACATACCCAATTGAAATTAGAGACGACTGAGGCGGAAGGAACGAGAGAGAGAGAGAGAGAGAGAGAGAGAGAGAGAGAGAGAGTGGAATTTGAGAAGAGTGAATCGCCGGAAAGGAAGAAATAGTGATGAAAAAGAAATGGCATGTGAAGAAGAAATAAAAATAAATAAATAAATAAATACACTCTGTTTTGGATGTTGATGTTTCAAAATAGCGACAGAGGGAATAAAGAGTTTGAGGGAAAGAGGGAAAGAGATTCTTCTCTATTCAACTTTTAATTACATTTTTTTTTTAAATATAATAGAATCTCGATAAAACTAATAATCTCACTTAAATAAAATTAATTTCTTTGAGTTCTGACTCGATATAAAGTATAAACATATTAAATTATTAGTTCGATTATGTAATATTTTTGCTGAATTAACATCATTTATTGGTCCACATTGTATTAATTTATAAAAGTTGTTTAATTGTAATCAATAATCATGATTCATAGTTGTAATAAAAATTGGGACGAATTTCCCTTAAAAATGGACCAATTAAAAGGGAGGCTGCAATTCAAGGCCCAGTGTGAGTGTGTTACCATGACTAGAAAAAAATGTTTTTTTAATATTAAGAATTACATAATGTTCAACAATTATTAAATTAAAAAAAAAAAAATCAATAATTTTGTAATAAGTTATGTACAAAGGAAGAAGTAAATATGAAAATGTAATAATCATATACCATATGATAAATTTATATTATGAAAAAATAAATCCTAATTTAGAAAGTATACACAATTTGTAGTTGCAAAAGAATTGTAAAAACTAAATGGATCAGCCGGCGCACGTTAGTCCAGCGCACTTCTCATACCTCTCACGTGAACGACGGCGGCGGCGGCGGGTCCTTCAACTGGCCGTTCTGGACCGGAATCGCGGCGTACCGCGACGAGAATGCCCGGAATATTCTGTCGTCCTCGATTTGACCGTTCTGCCCCGGGCCGTCGTCGAAGTTCAACGCGTAACTCATGGGGTCGTACTGGAATTTCCCCTGTTTGGGCCGGGCGGCGGTTTTGTTGAACCGGCGGATGAACGTCTTCCACTTCGGACCGGCCACGATCTCCGACCACTCCCTCACCTTCTTCAACGTCTTCACTCCCTCCCCCCACCAACCCCCGCCGCCGCCGTCCTGCTGCTCCGATTCCGATGTCGAAATCCGCTCCCAGCTGTCCGAATTCCTCGAAGGATTGCACGGAAAATTCCAAAACGAACAGCATCCGTGGTCGGAGAACGCCGATTCCTGGAAATCGTCGATCGAATCGTCGTCTTTCCGGGTGGATTCCGATGTGGCCGCTTCCATTTGCATCGCCATCTCCGGTAGAATCAATTACCGGAACTCCTTCTGCTCTCCTCTGAAAACCCTAGCTTTCTCTCTCTAGGATCTCTCTCTCTCTCTCTTCTTCGCTGTGTTTCGAATCTAATATATATAACGGGAATATTGAGGAAGGGATGGGTACCGGGTACCGGGAGATGCCGGTAAAGTAGGCGGTGTTTATTAGTGTTAATTGTGTTTAACAACTGGGGAGTGTTAATTGCTGGATACCTAAGCAGTCGGTGGGCCAGGTGGAAACAATGCTTAACGGCCTTATTAGGTGTTGCTTACGTGGCAATGATTAATGGTTTTGCTCTATTATATATTAATCTTTATCCGGTAGTATTTAATATTTTTCGAGCAACGGTAGTATTTCTTTAATAAGTAATTACGCATATATTTAATTAATTATTTAATATTTATCCAATTTTTACACACACAACTACATATTTTGTACCTGATTAGGTAGGCTGAGATTAAATTATTTCAAAAAATAAAAACAATTCTAAAAAAGCTTAAAATTAAAGGAATATACTTTTCTAGAATCGGTGTAAGCAAATAGACACATTGCGGATGCCACGTTCGACATTCGAAATTTGGGAAAAAATTAAACCAAAAATTTTAAATTAATGACAACTCATAAACTAAAATTTATTTTAAAATATTCAAGCTTGATACTTGATACATTGTTATTCACGTTGTTCGTATTTCGATTGTCACTATTAAATTTAAATGACGAAATAGGAGTCGAAAACATATTTAGTTGATAACATACAAATATTGAAAGCCCGCTATAAAAGATAAAATTTGCAATTAAATACTACTATCTAGTAAAATTATCGACCCTGATGCAATTAATTTTGCTTCTAGCGACTAAACGGGAATAGAATAATTTTATCCAGTAAAATATTTATTGTTAAATTAAAGATATTATTGAGAAATTACATTCAATACCAAAAGTTAACAATTTTAATATTATATCTATTACAAGAGACCTCATATCTTAATCACAAAATAATTAATTAGTTAGTGTACATATAAGAGCTTAATCAAGTCCAATAATTCAAATTGATCGTGTATATATGTAAACGCCACGGTTAAAAATATTCACCGAAGTAACAATGCCACAGTTTATACTATGTTGCATTATGTAAAATATATACAACGGTAGATATTAATAATTCATTCACACATAAATACACACATATCCATGTTGTTGTGTGTAAATCAATGACGATAAAAAAAAAATCACGAGGAAAGGTATAAGGCCACATCTTTGTAAAATAAATTACGAGAAAGGGATTAAGTAACTTTAATTTGCACCCAACCCAATTATTCAACAATTTTATGATGATCTGGATTTTCAATGTGTGACAAGATTTGATCATATACCAAATGTACATGAAGAGCACGAATGTATTGACCATGAGCCATATAATATTTAGAGAAAGATATTGTAGTAGTCACAACTATGGAGGAACATACAATAATTATATATGGACACCTAAGTTTTAGTTAATGATTCATATTAATTATGTAAATATCAATTAATGAGAGAATCTTGATGATTGATTCATAATTTATGTTGTTTTTTTATTTTATTTTTTGTTGGTATTAGCATATTACGTGTTGTTTAGAGTTGATTTAGTTTGTTGTTTACTCATTACTTTTATCAATAAACACTACCTAACATATTTTCTTAATTATTACTCCTCACAATTTCATTATATATAATAAGATGCTACAATTTATGATATGATTATAATTAAAATATAAATATTATTGGAAAATTATATTTAATACTGGATTTTCATAAATTTTGTAGTATGAATACTATACATCTTGTGAATTACATCGAATGGTTTTGGATAATATATTTACGTGAATAATCATTCAGTAAATACACATACATGTGTGTGTATGTGTGTTTTTATGTATGGCTCAGTAGCGCAAAATCAACTAGTATATTACACATGGTATAACATCAACGAGAATGGTATATTGGATACTGAGAACCAAAATAGGAAATTAATATAATCCAATCAAATTTAATTTATTTTGATTCATATAATCGAAAAACGCTTGATTTGAAGGCGATTTTTTTTTTCTTCCACCGAACTAACACTCAAAACACATTTTTTTCCATTTCATTTTTTTTTTTAGGATTTTTCCATTTCATTTTACATCTGCTCTAGCCCTACAAATTGGACAAAATGGACTCTTCAAAAGCCACAAATCCACACACTCCGCGTGGAAAACGTGCTCGCACGGAGGCAAAAGCCTACATTTTTCTCCCACATCGAAAATATCCAAACAAATGGCACAATCTGCACTACTGCTGTTACTATTACTATTGCTATTACTACTACTACTACTCCCTTTGATCATATCATTTTTCCTCTTGAAATCGAAATGTGGGAGCTTTTCAATGTCTTCATTCGACATTCCCATTTCGACCATGTTAATGTCATTGTTATTACTTAACAACCTTCTTTCGTAACTCCTCCAAGTCATACAATGGCGGATCATGCTTAAAAGACCCAACCCCGCAAATAGATAAATACAGAAAACCACTGTCTCCATCGGATATTTTTTCTTTTTGATAAGTATTGGATTAATAGTATAATATATTATAATAAAAATATAAATATAAATATGAGTATCGACTCCTTCAAAAGCGACTCACGATGCGCTGAATAATGATCGATTTAGTGCCATTGTGATGTAAAATCGATCCACTACAAAAAAAAAAAAAAATAGTATTAGTGACACTCCAACGGTGACAAACTGACAATATTAAAAGTTGTCACTACTTTTTTGCACTAAATCCAGTTTTAGTGTCACTATATAGAATTAGTGATACATCAATGGTGATAAGAAAAAAAAAAAAAAAAAAAACAAGCAAGAATCAGCCGAAAGAATGGAAATAGGACTGATTTAAATTGGAAGCATTGAGACTTTAAATCATTTATTTATATTTTTTGAAAATCTCAAGATCAGATGAAATATAAGACTGATTAAAGAATAAGCCACACACACAAAAAAAAAATATTAAATCAAATTTAATTATATATATAGAACAAAATCATGAATACCTCTTTCTGATCAAACTCAACAACTCAGTTTTCTGCGGGAGTTTCGGATCATTGTAAAGAACTCAACGAGCTGAACCACACGAGCAAACTAGATAATGTAAATGTGGGTTTAATTACTTCTGTAAATTACGCCAACACTGTCGAATAATATCTCTAATTGATCTTTTAGAGTTTCGCAGGAGAGACGAAAACAAATCCAAAACAAAAATCAAGAGTGTGTGAGCGTGTGTTGTGTGTGTGTGTATGGGAGATGATTCAGTCTTCTAGTATGATAGAGATAGCCTAAACATACGTGAAATAGGGTACATTCAGTTGGGCTTTATTAGCTAAATTTTTATGCAAAACTATTGATTATTTATATAAAAATATAATTAAAAAAATATTTCAAATAATAAATTTATTAAATATCTTATTATTTATTTAATCGGACTTAATTTGCAATGAGCAATAGTAAACTCAAACACGAACACATAACTAATAAGAGACTCGGCTCGAACATAATTGGATCGAACCATCATACTTAGAGCATGTTCGACAGTTCGAGTCGATTCAATAAGCCAACCTGGCAACTCGTAAAGCAATTCCAGTCTTAAAAAAAGAAAAAAAAATAAAAGAGCACGCCACGAAGTAAAAATGTCATATATTTTTACTTTGCCACAAACTAGCAGCAAAAAATGGTCACATATTATCCTATATTATAGGATCTATAGATCAATACCAGATTTAACCGTCTCCCCGAAAACCTCAAACTTTCATCGTATAACAATTATGTACTCTCAAATCTGACCTTGACAGGGGAAAAGATCAAAAGGAAAAATTAAAAAAAAAAATGAAAAAAAAATACCGCATTTATGCTACGAGTCTATAACAAGACCCTCTCGAGCAGTATTTGTAACACGAAGAACAGCTTGAGCACTTAACGGTGAAAGCTTCGATTGGCAGAAATGCTCCCAAGATGCTGTTATTACAGGTTCATCGGAAACAATATTTTGTTTTAGGACATGAGATTTTTCGTACACAGATTGCAAGTCCAGCAACAAAGTACGAGCCGAATCTCTCGACTCTGGAAGTTGGTCACTAAGCTGTGATGCTCCTATTTGAATCAGTTTTTCTATACCAAATGCTTCAATTCCTTCAACTCCCTGCCCGAAAAAAAAATAATAAAAAAATTAAAAATTAATGGCTATTTGAAGCAGAAAATAGGGAATATTGGGATTCGGGCGAAGGGTTCTTAGTTCTTACCATTCGTGGTACACACCTAGAAATGCACGAAGAAGCCTTGGCTCGAATTCGAGGATTCTTGTTTTTAATATGAGGTTGCAACTTTGGCAACAATAAAAGAGGAGAAACCGAGCTAGTCAGGGCTATTAATGCGCTCTCAGCTGCCTCGCGTACAAATTTCTTGTCTTGCGAAGATTTGAGGAGAAGTTGCACAAGCTAAAACAAGGAACGCAGTATTGTTAGTTAAAACGTGAAATATTCTATCGAAAAACGGAGAAACCGTATGAAGAGGTAAAGCATCGATCGATCAGTTATGAATATAATAAACACATTACCAGTGGATCGACTGAATCAATGGTGTCATCGTTATACGCTTTGAAAATGTCGGCACAAGTCATAATTGCAGTTTTACAGACAGCGCTTCTTGGATTCTTTAAGGATTTCACGATTAAGGAGATCACATCAGCCCTGGTCATTAGAAACTAGGGTGTCATAACTCATAAACGATGTAAAGAATATTCTGTGGAATATATAAAAATGAAAAAAAATTACGATACTTACATCATACTAATGATAGCTTCCTTGTGAAAGACGGACAATCTGCGTACATTGTTGAGTGCATCACACACTGAAATCCAGTCTTTGGAGCCCAGTCCCGATAAAAGCGTCTTGAACCAAAGTGAAAGAGATATTTCAGAAAGCCGCATACAACACAATAACTAGGACAAAAAATCATCATAAAACCTAAATCAAATACATAGACAACATTTCACCACCTTCAGACAATCCTCAACGTGTTCTACATCCTCCAAATCCTCGGATTCAATGTACTCCACTTCTGAATTTGCCAGCACTTCTCCAGAATTTTCCATTTCATCCGTCTTAACGGGCCCACTAACCAGTGAGGTAGTTCCTTTCTTTTGGCCTTCTTCGGCGTTTGTAAATTTTCCATTACTGGAGCTCTCGTTCATCTTCTCAGACTCGGGTATTTTATTGACATCTCTCAGAGCTATCTCAGACATTATGAAACACTGAAGCAAGAATACAAGAACATAGTTAAAAGTTAATTGAGATTTTTGACAGAATTAATCTGTATAAGACTGGTCGTAATGTGAACGGTAAGCAAGCCAAAGCAAAGACAGAAATCGGAAAATCTGGTTCAAGTTTTACGAAGTGGTCCTACACAGTCAACTATCGTAATAATTCACAGCCTTAAATAACAGACTCTGTAGCAAAAATGTATCAGAAACGCAAAAATGTTTATTCAAATTCAAGAAGTAGGGGAAAACCGTACATGGATAAAGTCGTCCACTCGATAATAACTGAACACACAAAACCAAGTCTAGTTACCAGAATTTCACATCGACAAATTCTATCAGATCATTCTATAGTCTATATACACCATATACACCAACTCTAATATATATCTCATATTCCGATGGATAATAAACGATAATCAACATGTTATTAACGGCAACTTCACTAAATCAAGCAAGTAAATGGCCCACAAAGTACTGTCGAAAATCGCTCCACTAAAAATCGAGAACTAAACCCTAATTATCACCCAGATCTCCCCTAAACCCATCGTTTTGACAACAGGTTGAATAAAAAAAAAAAAAAAAACCAGATCATTCACTTTGAACTTCACACATAAACAAAAATTGAAAAAAAATTCAAGAGCAAACTTCACGAAAATCGCCGACATTAGCAAAAATCATCTGCAAATAGCACAAAATCCAGCATCGCGATTCAATAAACAAAAATTGAAAAAAATGGAAAAAAAAAATCAAGTACAGCAGCACGAACGTGACGAAGAAACAGTCGAAATGAAACAAACAGAGCAGCAGCAAACAAAAATACAAGTAAAATTAATATTGCATTAGGATCTCATCATTTCACCGCCGTTTAACTTCGAACCGTCAGTCAAACAATCTCTGTGTATTTATTACGCAGAGACGAAGCTCTGCGCCGTGAAATTTACTTCGTAATTCAAATACGCAGACGGAGGAGAGAAAAATTACCGCCGGAGGAGGAGTTGAAATACGGCCGCCGCCGCGACAACGGTGAAATGGTGGAAGTATTTGTTGCAGATCTTCTCAATTTACATATATCTCTATATATATGCGTGAGTGCGTGTATGTATATGTATGTATATGTAGGGAGAAAATTTGAAGAATGAAGAGAGAAGGTGTATTTGTGTAACCGGCGAAGGACGGGGAGGTAAAAAGAGACGGCGAACAAAGGCGGGCCCACACCTCCGATAAAATATCAAAACGTGATCGCCCGACATTTATCTCGAATCACGTAATTACCCCTAGGTTTTCTACCTAGGTCTAATCGGTCAAAATTAGAGTCGTTATTGCATCTAATACAGCCAGGGCCGGGTCGAGTCCGGGTTCGACTTTTTTGGGATCCGAAACCGACTCGTGGAGAAGCGGGTTAGGGTTGGGTCCGGCTCCAAACAAACTTTCTAAAAATATTTCTTTTCAAATAATTACAAGAAAGAAAAAAAATCTTAAATTGAAACTTGAAAAAAAAAATTACGATTTAACTTTAAAGAAAAATTGATTTTTTTCAAGTTTCTTATATTGTATTGTTAATAATTTAATTAAAATTATTTAATCATAATTACTATGAAAATTAATAATTTATTTAATATATTTATCATTTTTTATCCGATCAGATTTAGCACGACCACTAAAGCAAGGCCCAATTGAATTGGCCCATGCCCAATCGAATTGGGCCCATGCACAAAGAGGAAATAAAGCCACATAGTATAGGTGACGAGCTATACTGCACGGACACTTCTAGAAGGTGAAGAGTCCCCGTATCCGATACCTGGACACTTGGACACACCCGGATACTTCTCGGACACCCGTGTCGAGCCGTGTCATAGTTCAATGTAATGGTACTTCAATAAAAGGCAAAATAATTGTACAATAAATCTGCTTCTGTTTGGGGTCCTCCAGATTTCCAAAAATTTCAACCCCTGTCTTAAATTTCCATAATTTTTCAATTGGGTGATAAAATTTCATCTCAACTTTTACCTGTTTCACAATCACATTGTGCTCAAGGGTACATGTGAGGGCCTCGTTGAAATTTATGTGAGGGTATTTGTAGAGGAAATAGTCCAACAAGTTCGGCTTGGTAGGTGCGATGAGGTCGGACTTGAAAAATGATAATGCTTCCAACATGGAAGATGTTAACAAGTCAACATCATTTCCTCGTAAGCTGAATCGAGGACTGGAATGAGCTTCTGTATCTTGAAAAACCAATTTTCTTATCGAAACTGATACGGATGGAATAGAATCGATCCGTCATCCATCTTCTCTGAGATCTCTAAACACATATGGAGTACCTCGAATAAAAGATATTCATTATGTGGAAGAGATGCAACTAACCCAATGATTCCATTGTTCGTCCCGAACAGGACAGTTGGAATCCCTCAAATTTTAATGACATGTGAACCAAACGAACCTTTTCTAAAACGATTCACATATTCACCAAGCTGGTATTTACCGACCACCTCGAGCTGTCCTTGAAGATGCGAGAGTCTAGAATTCTACTCGTTGATCTTGATTTTAGTGTGCCACCATAATATTATTGTACATTTTTTAACTCAATCGATTGAAGGTGGCAGCAAAATCAACATCCCCAGATATCAATAAAACATTGGCAAGCGGGTCATGTTAGGACGTATGCAAACTCATCCGGGACATCATTATCTATAGACATGGCCGAAGATTTTGATTGTAACAAAAGTCTGTAGGAAGAAAAGGAGCTGAATGAACTATGTTAGGCAATTTAAAAAGAGTTGAAATATGATTCATAAATCATCTTCATTTCAACTTGTGTTGGACAACTTGTTGGATGATTTGTGGACCTCGTCTTTAATATAGGAACAAGAAGTATAAATGATGAATGTTTTGAGTTGAAGATATTCCAATTATGGGATTAAATTATTTAAAAAGTGTTGTGTTTTTTTTTTTTTCTGATAAAGTAAAATTGTTGTACCTAGTTATAATATGACCCATAGTTCATACCATTGATCTTGTCTTAAACAACATCAACTCAATCAATGAATTCAAGTTGCTTAACACAAGTTCATACCATCGATTTGACGTTGGACAACATGAACTCTATTTAAATTTATTTTTTCTATTGACCCTTGTATAGCACAAGTTCATACCATTAATCTCGCGTTGGACAAAGTGAGAGCTCTATTTATATTTGTTTTTTTCTATTTAATGAAATTCTTTTATCAATCTAATTGAGAGTCTATGTCTCTTATATACAATGATTTTTTTTTAATAATATAATAAGATATTATAAAATGCTAACAATTGTTTTAATATTTTTTAAATAAAAGCATAAAATTGAAAACAATTAAGTAGTACAACACTTTTTAAATCACCGTAATCCGGTACACTCGAATTTCTTCAAATGAACACATGCATCAACATATACTTCTTCTTCCTCAAAACTCTTTTAACAAAATATTAGCCGACTAACATTAGTAAATTTAATATATGACAAACATTTGTTCAAACATATCAGTTAACAAACATCCGCTGAAAATATTGGATCTACTCTCTTCCTCCATACATCTTCAGTGTAAACGATGTATTCCCCAATTAGAACCATAATCTTTATCTTCTCCTACTTGAAATTAACTAAATCTTTAAACGAAACCTCAAAAGCCGAAGCAACGATGTAGGTGAGGACACCAAAAGACAATATGCAAACAATCAAAATGAAAGTAATCAAGCCATCGGCTATGGCGATTGTCAATGGGTATGGGTATTTTGGGAACCCATTTTAGGGTGGTGGATTCATTTGAAATGAAAGAATAATAGTGGGCTGGATTGTAATAAAAGTTGTTTTGATGGGTCTTGGTCAAATTAACCTTTTATTTTGGGAATCCATTTTGAGGTGGTGGACTAATTTGAAATGAAAGAAAAATAGTGGGCCTGGTTTGTAATAAAAGTTGATTTTATGGGTTTTGGTCAAATTGCCCTTTTATTTGTGAATTCATTTTGGAGTGGTGGACTAATTTGAAATGAAAGAAAAATAGCGGGACTGGTTTGTAATAAAAGTTGATTTTATGGGTCTTGGCCAAATTACCCTTTTCTTTTGGGACTTCATTTTGGGATGGTGGACTAATTTGAAATGAAAGAAAAATAGAGGGGCTAGTTTGTAATAATAGTTGATTTTATCGGTCTTGGTCAAATTACCCTCGTATTTTGGGAATCATGTTGGGGTTGTGGACTAATTTGAAATGAAAGAAAAATAGTGGGGCTAGCTTGTAATAAAAGTTTTAATTTTATGGGTCTTGGTCAAGTTGCCCCTTTTATCTTTAACAACCAAACGATTCGAAGAAAATAATAGGTTTTTGGCACTTTGCACCCTTAAATTGTACCATTTTGGCACTTTGCACCCTTAAGTTGCAAAATTGGCAGATTGCACCCTTTAAACATAAATTGTTTGGCACTTTGCACCCCAAATCACTTTTGCAACTTGTTGAAAACCTGAAAGATGGGAAAATAATTTATGTTTAAAGGGTGCAATCTGCCAATTTTACAATTTGAGGATGCAAAGTGCCAAAATAGTGTAATTCAAGGGTGCAAAGTGCAAAAAACCCGAAAATAATACACCTATTAATTAGCATGAGATGACAATTTATTTCCTCAAATCTATTTTGGTGGTCTTAGCAAAAGCTTTAGTAGAATCATTCTCGGGGTCTTTTTTTTTTTTTTTTTTTCTTATAATCGAATTTTATGTGTTTAAAAAATAAAATTTTGCTTTTATTTTCTTCAAAACAATTTGTTTACGGTCACCCTACTGAGGTAAGATTACATTACGAAAAAAACTTTTCTTGTTTGCGTAATTACAACCACCCGTCAACTATGTCCTTACACGGTGTTCATCTGGTTGGTAAAACGAACGAAAATTCCATACATGCTCATAACTGAATTACCAAATTCGGTTCGATATTCAGTTATTTATTTATTTATATATATTTTTATATGAAATATTAGTATTTAAACTAAAATTAATTTAAAAAAAACAAATTTTTAAATATTTTTAGTAAAATTTCGATAATTCGGTTATTTACCGAACCGTACAATAAATGATATGAAAATATGGCGTACCGTAATTTCGGTACGATTTTACCGAATGAACACCTCTAAATTTACCTATTGGAAGGATATT